AAGGATGTGAGAAGCTCTCTCATTACCAACTTGATAAAGACAAAAGTGCCCCTCTTTCTTCTATTACTTCCCTTCTTAAAGTTTTCCCAATGGCTATTGCCCCTCAGTAAATCACATTGATAGGATTTTTAATCTGGCACTGGCCATGAAGACAGACCTGGACAGTTATCAGATTGTCTGTTAAACAGCTCTTAATGTCTCTCCAATCTACTTTCCACTTCTCTTATTTATGGAATGCTGCAGCCTCCTGACCTGATTCTCTGCTTCTATGTGATTCTTTTTTTTTCCTTAAGCTTAAGTCTCTATTAGTTTCCTTCTAGGGATCATTCTCATCACTGAGAACTTTGTGATGGTTTGACCATGGATCCCTCTCTACAGACTCAGGCTGACTCATCTCCGTTAGTCCCTTCAACACAGTCCAAGAAAGAATTCACTATCCTTTCTTGAAAAGTGTATTTCTCAAAGCCTATTAAGACTGGCTTATCAAAGCAACTATTTTAATCCTGCTTTATTCTGGAATTATTTTCTAAGTGCACGATAAAAAGTTATTTCTCTGAGGTCTAATCACTTGTATAGTTGGCTCTACTGTCCTTCAAGTTAACTTAATTTTGTATTTTTAAATTTGTATATGCACATATTATACATGTTTATTTCACACACATTTATACAGGTGATTATAATATTATAAAATACACTAAGCTGAGAAAGATTATGCTTGTATAAATCTTCATAGAACAAGTGAAACCTCATCTCCTGGCAAAAATTTTGGTTCTGATTGATGTTAGCAAAAAATACTAGAACAAAAATGTTGAAGTTGATCATCAAATTGATCCTTGACAAATTTCATGATGATAACCTATTTTTAAGAAAATCTGAATAATTACAGCTCACACAATATTATTCAAGTAATCTTAAGCTACTGAACATAAAATTGCAAAAACATGCTGAATATTAAGTATAAGCAAGATATTAATGTAGAGAAAAATAGTATGCCTAAAAATATATACAGTAAAATGGGAAAAAATCAAATCCAGCATTTGACTAAAAAAAAAATTTGATTTGAATAATTCTCCAAGTTAATGGCCATCCACAATTCATAACCTGATTCTTATCGAACATCAATATCTTGAAATTTTACCAATAAAAATTAGATTCATTCCTGAATGGTAGAAAGCCAAAAATAGCAGTGGCTTAACCAAGATAAAAATGATAACCAAAAACCTGAAATGTGGTCAAAGTGGAACAAAGGGGCTTATTTGTAGGTTTAGTACCACAGCTGGGCAGAGACAGTCACAGGCAGTCCTTGAATCATGTTTCCAGTTGCCTAGTCTTGGAGAGAGTTTATATACACAAAGAAAAGTCAGACAGTTTCTGCTCTGATCTGCTATGCAAATTAGGTTATAAGTCAGACAAGTAATGATTGACTCAATAACATGGAAATTAAGTGAAAAGTTAGTGAAGTAGTGATTGGTTAAAGCTTTATTGTGGGTGGTCTGTGATGGATTGGTTTTATTGGCATGTGGAGGCATGCCTGGAAGTACCTGATTTTCAACAACTTCTCAATTCTGTTTTGAGAGTTGGTGTAGATGCCTCCACTTTGACTTTTTATTTCTTCAAGTGTTAATATTTTTCATCTAATCTAAATCAGCCCAATATGAAAGTTTCATAAGCATTAAGTTTTCAGATTCTTTTAATAACATTGTCCTGTACACCCACACGAGGTGACACCTTCATGTTCAAAAAAGTTTGCTTGTACTCAGTTATTATATGTTCATTTCAGCACAAACAGTTCGGCCTAAAGGGAAAATAACCTAAGTTGAAGAAGAATATTTATTCCTTTTAAGCATATTTATCTGAAGTCATATCCCATTATCTAGAATTAATCACCTGTATTCACCTTGCTGCAAGGTTCTCTGGGAAATATGTTCTTTATTCATTATGTCTAATCAAAATCAGGATCCTAAGAAGGAAAAAGAGTAGATTTTTGGGAAACAACCAGCTGTATCTGCCATAATAACATAATTATGAGATTTATATTTGAACATAAAATCAATCTTCTAGTTTCTTCCACAAAAAATTCAATCCGATGACTGAGAATGAATCCCCAAATTTGTGTGGGAACTACCAAAGGGGAACTCTCATCTGCTGGTCTTAAAGTTATCATGCTCTGAATATATATGAATGAATGAAAGAATGAATATATATATGTATATCGACACATATATACCTATATAATATATTTAGAAAGCTATATATAGAAAGAATATAAAGAAAAATGGCCTATGTATTTTACTAAGGGTTTAAAATGTTACCTTTTATATGATAGACAAACACTATCCAAGAGAAAAATAATGCAAATCAGAAATGTAAGACACACTCTGTTTTTAAATTTTATCAATAGTCATATTTAAAAAGGTAAAAAGAAACACATATTTAATAATTTTTGTTTGATATGACATGTTAAAATATAAACATTTCAACATATAGTCAACAAAAAATACTGAAAATAAGTTGCATTCCTTTCCTTCCTACTATGTTTACAAAATCCAGTGTGTATTTTATACTTGGAGAATTCAGATGGCACATTTCAAATGTTCAATAGGCACATGTACCCAGTAGCTGCCATATTGAATGCACTGAATGGTAGTACAAGTTAATTCATAAAAATGACACATTCCTTAAAGAGAGGAAAGAACTTATTATAAACCTATTGCATTTGAAAGGATGGGGTGGGTCATGTAGGAAGTGTGATTTATCTTTTTTACTTCTTTGGACTTTTTAAAATCTATATTGGACATTTAAAATTTATTTTCATAAAACATCATTAGAGCTTGGTTGGTTGAAAGTAACTGAACACCAGTTTTAACTATCTTGGAGGGAGAAGACTGGGTAATTACAAAGTTTTTAACTATAAATTATACAAAAATTATAAAATTACCCATTGGACTGGGTAATTAAAAGTCCCCGGTTAGTGTGAGATGCTTAAAAGTTAAGATTCAGGGTTCACCTATGTTATGATCTACATTGGTTTCATTTTCAGTGAAGTGGATAATTCTAGATTAATGTGCGCTTGGTTCAGATTCAACAGAAAAAGAACGTTATTTCCTAGCTGTGTCCATAAAAACTACAGCCTGATTCTCATTGGCCTAAATTTATTCACATATCTAATTCCTGAAGCAATTATGAGGTCCAGAGTGGAAATGTGGTACACTGAAATGTTTTATTGCCTTAGGTCATATGTCAAAAGCTGGAGTTGATGAAATAAACTGTCATACCCTGAAGAAAGTGTCAGCAATGAGTATTTCATCAAAGAATAATTGAAGGAATAGATGCAAGACTGAAAAGACCAGCAGATATCTATTTACTTCATTTAACTATTTTTCAATGTCCTTAATGTTTATGATTTACATTCGTTTTTCAGTCATAATATTGTGCTTTTGGAATTTCCTACTTTTTTCTTTGCCTAAAATTACAAAATTTTATCATAGTTTTATAAGAATTAAATCTACTGATTTTATTTCTGGTTTCCTTTATATTTAACATTTTCAACTTCTATTTATTAATGCATGCCATTCATTGCTGGGTAATTTTTCCCCAGTTACATTTGTAGTTGCCAAAAATTGTGGCAAGATTTGAGGGTTTTTACTACTATGTTGAGTTACATAATTATTTTCCTCACATTTACTGAGTTGTCTCAAAGGCTTTTCCTTTCTTCTTGGTTTTAATTATAAATTAGTTATTTTTGTAGAAATAAATTATCATATGTGGCTTTTAATTCTTCCTTTGTTACCTCAAATTTATTTTTACGATAATTACATGTGACTCTGTGGCCAGAAAACAATACATGCTATTTCAAAAAGCATTTAAGTATATACATCCTAAAAACATTTTAATCATTCAATAACACAGTCTTCTTAACTTGTGTATGACTTCTATTAAATCTATTTGATTGTAATTTGAACTCTAAGACTTCATTTCCTTATGTTTTGCCCTGAAACTGCAGTTTTTATACTTTGCTTACATTGCTTATTTGGAAAAATATCATCCTTAATATGCAAAAGCTAATTCTCTTACAAACCTCCTGTAGTGTTTACTCCTTATAGTAAGCCAAATAGTCCCCTTCTCAATTGACTTTTAACTAGAAGAAAAATAGTCATAGACTCCATCAAATAGTGGGTTTTATTAAAATAATTCTGACTTATACAAGCATAAGATTTTATGAATTTTCTTTTATGTGTCTTTCTTCTCACATTTATATCTCTTAAGGGAACAGTTTTCCTTGCCCAATATATCAAGGAGAAGTCATGTAAGACATGTTTAGTTTTGTTTTAAATAACAATTTTCCTCCTTCTATAGAGAACTAGATGCATGTATCCTTTGGAATTGTGTATAAAACAGTGTTTAAACAGAAGAATACTGTTTCTACCCAATCTGAGAAAGCCTGTTATGCTGACATATAGACCATCAAATATATCATGTGTAGACATATATGTTCATTTCACAGAAAATTTATTTCATTCTACATAGTGAGAGTGTTGATTCTGTTGCTCTTATTGCTACTAAATAGCAAGCTGGTTGAATTTGCATGAGGAATAATTGTTTAATCTGCAAGAATTTTCATTTTTAACATCTTTTAAGTTAATAAAAATTTGTAGAGTAATAAGTAATTCAATTGATTTAAATGAGGTTTTCATAGTGGTGAGTTTTCATAATTATATATGAAATATATATACAATATATACATAATTACATGGCTTGATTGAGAAATTGAAAACAGGGCTATGTTATTGAATTTTTTTTTTTAAGATTTATTTATACAAACACTGGGGTACAGGCCAGAGGCACAGGAGGGTGAGAGAATTCACCAGAGACAGAGCAGGGAGCAGAGCAGGCAGAAGGACTGAAATATACTTCTGAGAGGAGCAGCGGGCGAGACAGGAGAAGTCTACCACGCCATGTGGGTATCTCCCTGGCCGGCTGGGAATTGAGCCCGCTCTGCAGAGGCTGCAGACTGCTTCACAGCGCTGCGCTCAATCCACTGCACCACCAGGGAGGCCCTGAAATTTATTAAACAATAGAAATGATGTGAAATAAAGAGCATAGCTTCTGAAGAGAAATGTCTCACTCCAGAGATCATCTTCCAGAGTCATATTTTTAGTGTATCCTGAGATCTCTCTTAACCTCTAAGAAATCAGTCATTTATATTTATATCTATATCTATCTTTTTTTAAAGATTTATTTATTTACATGCATAAGAGCTGGGGTGTGAGCCAGAGGAGTACCAGAGGAGTGGGCAGTGAAAGGATTCACCAGAGACAGAGTGGGGAGCAGAACAAGCAGATCTAATGAAATACACTGCTGAGGGGAGCAGTGAGCAAGACAGGAGAGGTCTGCTGCACCCTGTGGGTCACTTCCCTGGACTTCTGGGGAATAGAACTCATGCTGCAGTGACTGGTGATTGCTTGATAGTGCTGTTTTTAACTCCTGTGCCAGGGAGGCCCCATCTGTCTATTTATCTTATATATATTATTTCTTTCACCTCTTCTGTAACCCTCAGTGCTGACAATTTTCCAGAGAGCAAACGCCTCCACAAAATTTGGGCCAGAACTAGAGCGGAACACAGACACCCTTTCTCTAGTTCTCTATTGCCTTTTAACTCTCTCTACTTTTTATCCTACATAAATTCTTTAATTCTACCTTGATCAATCTTTCCTTTTCTGTAGGAAAATTATGCAGCTCATAATAGGAAGATAATTCAGTACATTCACCAGAATTAATTGATTCCTGGAGGCCAAGAAGCAACCCACAAAAGTTTCTACATCTCTGGATTAGGATGCCACTGAGAAATATAAACTACTATGTAATATAAGTTTATGCCTTAAAAATCCTTCCCACCAAAATTACCCCGGCCAAGTTTTTGGCAAAAACATAAACTGCTTAACCCTCTGTGCTGCATACGTCCACATCCTTTGTTCATTTCTCATGAGGAAATCTCCTTAGTAATCTGTTCCAATTCTATTCTCACCTTCTATTCTTTCTCCCCCTCCTCCCACTATCTTTCAAATGGACTATACCACCTACTTTCACTCCACTTCTAAATCTTTCCATTCTCTAGTTAATAAACTATCCACTTCTTTACCCTATTCTCAGAACTTTCTTTCCACCCACTGGCGTTAAGTAATACTTAGCTCCTCACTTACTTTCTCAAATACAAACTGCTCATTCTCCAGATCTTGACCCCTCAGGATGAGAATCACTTCAACACACTCTTCTAGTCCTACTAAGATCCTACTATGGATCCTACTAAGAGAGATCCATGCTCTTCCATCTTCTCAAGTATAAGCCCTTTTCTTTCTTTTAGTTGTCTCAACTGTAGTCAGCTAAACCCCCTGACCCAGGTATCAGCTTCTCTGCATTTACTTCCAGATTTCCTCAACCGAAATCTTGTAATCATCATGGATTAATTATAGACTAAGAAGTGGATAGAACTGACATTCTAGTTTCAAATTTTTCTACATGTTCAAATCTACTGCCTTTCACCAGATCCCCTTATATAGTAATCCTTTTTATAAACCACTTTCTTCATTTACCTTGGACCCCATGATATGTAACTTCAATTATTCTTTTTTTTCCTGTGTCTACAACTTCTTTTCCCTATTTCTGTTCTGTCAAATCTGCCAACCTAAATCCCCAACTCTTGATAAAGTTTGCTAGATAGAGATGGAGAAAAACTTTCCAGCTGTTTCAATTAGACCCATTCTAGCTTTATAGTATTTAAATTTAACAAGGCCAGACAATTCTATGATCTTTCTCTGCTCTATATTTTCATTTTCCAGTGTGAATATATGAAGTTTCCCTGTTTCCTCAAACCTTAAAATCCATCAACTTCTCTGTGCTAGAATATAACTTTAATTTTTACTTCAAAACAAAGCTAGAGTGATCAGAAAATAACTGAGAAACCTACCACTTTACTTGCATCTGTACCTGCCATTTTCTTTATTGTTCTAGTTGCAGTAGTATCTCCATATCTCCATCTTCCTTCCCCTCTTACACACTCCATGATCTTGCACCAACTTTTTTACTTTTTCTAGCCTCTTCAGACCTCACAAGGATATCATGAAAATGTGTCTTTCCATCTCATAGCTCTCACTTGTTTCCCATTCAATACCTCCCCTCCCTTTTACAACAAAAAAATATTATCTATTCGATCTTTGCTGACTATCTTCAATTCTTGACATTATTTACTCCCTAATCACTTCTCAGCTTCATTTGCAGCTACCTCTTTATCTCTGGATTTTTATATATTCTCTCTTTGAAAAATTTGGCAGGCTCTTATCTATCTGTAAATTTGCCCTGAGCAATATATTCATGTCTGTAGCTCCAGTAAAGATATTTTTAATGAATGAATCTTTAAAATATTCAATTTTGAGATGATTGAAAAAAGTCTAGATATAGATTACAGGTTGAGATACATTAGTTATAATTTAGTCAACAGTTGAAGTGTTGAAATTTAACCTTAATTTTAATACTTACTTTAATAGCATACTCATCCAAGCATAATAATTCCTTTAAATATTAACGGCATGCCACCTTAAATAAAAGGGCAAAATTAATATATACATTTAATAATAAGCTATTGTTGATGAAAACATTTTGGCTTTACATTTTTTAAATATAATCATATAATTACTTCTAGTTATATAAGTGGAGTCTTTGATATTTTTCTCAATAATCAAGCAAAAATTTTCACATTTTTATGCTTAACAATAACAAAATGTAAAACTGTGGTTACTTCAGACTATGCCACACAGTTCAGAAATGAAATGAACTAACTTGCATGTGAGTTAGGTATATAATCATATTTCTTAAAATTTTGTTCATGGAAACTTCATATCATCTGGGATAATTTTAAAACTACAGATTCCTGGATGCCAGTCTGGACTAATATAACAGAGATCTCTGCTTGCAGGGCCCAAGATTCTACATTTTAAAAACTCCAAAGTTATTTCTTACACATCTTAAATTTGAGAACCACTATATCAAATAAATAACTATTGTATGGGATAAATGTGTTAACAATGTTCTCAGAACATGTACTGTTCAAATCCTCAGTTGCTGTATAGTTCTTCTATGTTGTAAGGAGAAAATGTATGTATTTATGAGTAAACGCAGATGTCTTTAGCTGAAAGAATATAACATTCTACTTGTTCAAATCTACTGACTTTTACCACTTCCCCTTCTAGAGCAATCCCTTTTGTAAGACTTCTATATAAGATGGTATATTACAAGGAAATACTGGTATCAAAAGTGGCTTAATTCTGAGTGCTTATAGTTTGTTTGAATGTTACAGAGCAGTATTTCCCAAACTGGCCTACACCCCAGTTCTTGTATGCATAAATAAATAAATAAAAATAAGTTTTTTTAAAAAGAAAAGCAAGTAGGATTTAAAAAAAAATACAGATATTTTCAAAGTTCTTCATTTTGAAAATTTCATTTACACAGATGATGCCCTCTCTCCACTTATGTTTTAAAGGCCTAATGCAATGTAATTAATTACTCAGAGTGGCTATCAGTATTCTATTATAAGGAGCAAATACTTCAAGAGTGAGAACACAGAACACAGAATTGTCTGTAAGTAAGATTTCCCTGGAGCGAATAATACCCTCTGAGAATGTAACTAGAATAAAGAAAGAAGAAAAAATAATACCTTTCTTAGGACTCAAATAGACTGATACTTCTAAAAAGTGAATCCTAAATATGCCATCCTAATGCCTAAGGAGTATAACCCCACAACAAAAATTTATTTTAAATACAAAAATATTGAGTAGTTTGGAAGTTTTAATTTTACCCCAAATGGTCAAGACTGGGTAACATATGGCAACGTCTAGATTTTAGAATAGTTAAGTCTATTTGTGAGAGCTGAAATCCCAGAGTTTTCAACTAAAGTAGCTGGGGCTGGGTTGGAGTAACTGGAGGCACTGGCTATTATTCAGACTAATGACGCTTTTAAAGGGTAAAGACCCTGAAAACCCAGTAATGCTGACTCATAAGTATACATTTGTTCCAGGCTTCTAAGGGAATTAGGCATGCAACTCCCATTAACATTAACAGAAGACAGAAGTTCTATATCTAATTTCCCATGCAGCAGGCTAGAAGCAAACCCCATAATTTGGAGGCTTCGGAGTTTTAAGCAAGCTACATTGTGATCAAGAATTGCGTACGATGGAATGGAAATGATGGGAAAAAATGCCTTATCGCTAACTTTAAATGACCTTTTATTTAACAAATAATCTCAGGCACAAACTAAAATAAAGAACAGTTGTACTTCAGAGTAACCCTTTATTCTTAAACATGAGAGTTACAGCTCAGTACCCTGATATATTAAAATTGGTGAGTTCAGCTTCTTGAAATGCCACTTTGGAAATCTGTTTCGTCTGAATTATAATATTTTGTCAGTAAAAGAGTTTCATTAGATTTACTGTATAGAGTGGAATATAATGATTAAAAGAAGAATTGCAATGCTTCAACTTGAAAGGGAGAAGCCACAGGTATATAAAAGTACTAATGATTCATTGCTAACATCATCATTTTAATTGACATCTAAAGGTCTATTTTTTAATATTTTATTTTACATAATTCTTACATCATTTTTCATCTTTGCACAATGAATGCATTTTCATTATGGTTATATTCCCCATACAATTGCACCCCCCCCTTATTTTGATTCTAGTCCTTCCTCTCCCCGCCCCTCCCTCCCCCCCCCCATAGTATGTCTCTGGTTTATAGTAGCTTGTTGATTTTGATTTTTACTTTGTATTGATTAGTCTTTTTCCTGGTCTCTTATTTAAGTTTTCTAAATTCCTGCTATGAGTGAGATCATCTGGTATTTTTCTTTTTTCTTTCTGACTTATTTCGCTGAGCATGATCCCTTTTAGCTCCATCCATGTTGCTGCAAACTGCATGTGTTTATCTTTTTTGATTGCTGAGTAATATTCCATTGTGTATATGTACCACATCTTCTTGATCCAGTCATCTATTTTTGGGCATTTGGGTTGTCTATTTTTGGAGGATTGCCTCATGATAGAGAAAAATTTATTCTTTTGTTTTGTCATAGGTGACAATCATTACAAACAATAGGAGTTGATGAAAAATTATAAGGCAAAAGTTAATATCACTCTACACAATCACACAATCCCCCTCAAAAAAAAAAATCCTGCAAAAAATTTAAGCTCCTGACTCCATTGTTAAACAAAGCATGTCCCCATACATAGACAGCCACAGCTCACTAGCTCGAAGAGTAACATGTCTGGAAAATGAAGTTCAGCACCAACTGCTTAGCAGAACAAAAGGCATACCTTCCATTTGTAACTTCAATAAACTAGTTTTCTAAAAACAAAATTCCCAGCATAAAATACTGAGGAAAGGGACTCTAGAAGGTCTATTGAAGGAGTCAGAGAGAATACATTAGAGATACAGATGATAAAGAGATGTAATTCAAAAAATGGGATGTCTGGGGAAGAGAATGGTACAATGTACTGACTTCTATTTTGCCAAATTCAGGAACCTTTTCTCACTCATCATCTTCACTGCTTTTTCATCTCCTGTCTTTTTCACTCATTCATCACTCATACAACAGGTAGATATTCCTTTTTGTCTTCACATGTGGCTTCTCCCTTTTCTCCCCCTTGTTTTCTTCTCCCTGAAGAAATGATATACAGCTTTTGAAACAGTCATCAGGGGCAGCTCAGGGGTGATACACAAGGTGATTTTACTCCTGCCACAATCTGCTTTAAAAGCTACTCTGACATGTTATTTGGAGACTATAAATACAAGAACTTTCGTAGTTATGTCTAACTTCATTTCTCTTTCTACCCAATCATATAATCTACTTTATAAAAAAACAGACTTAGAGCCTCCCCTGGTGGCGCAGCAGTTGAGCACTGGGCTGTGAAGCTGCCCACAGCCTCTGCAGCGCAGGTTCGATCCCTGGCCGCCAGTGAGGGTCCCACATGGCGCAACAGACCTCTCCTGCCGCGCCCGCTGCTCCCCTCAGCAGTGTGTTTCGTCAGTCTGCCTGTTATGTTCCCCACTCTGTCTCTGGTGAATCCTCTCACCCTTCTGAGATTCTGACTGTACCCAGTGCTTGTATAAATAAATAAATAAATCTTTTAAAAAACAGACTTATTTTATAAATTAAAAAAGAAAAAAAATCTTCCTCAGAAATCTTCTATTCATTACTATCACTAACATCATAAGTTAGACTAACCAGTTCTTGTGTCATTTCATTTTTTTCCCTACATTTTAAAAGGACAGGTTTGTTAGGAAAAGGAGAAAGAAAAAGAGAGACACAGGTATCATCATAGGCAGGTAAGAGAGAGAGGCTCTTGGGTCATTTCACAATGGGATCCTTTCTAGTCTTTCTAAATAGGTTTTCCATTCTCATCCACACACACCTCAAGCCTCAGACAAATCACATCATGTTGAACAGTGCAAAAACGCTCATAGTTGCTCTCAGTGCTCTTCCTGCTGCTTGCATTGTCCAGAGATTGGCAATGTGCTGACTCTGAGCCTGAAGTGACCTTTATCATATCTTCTAGCACCCAATTGTTGCTTTCATTTTTGAGGCTCATTTTCTCTTGTATTGAATATTGGGTTAACTGATTTTTTATTCTCATTCTAGTCAATATTTATGGAAGGCAGAGGTGTAAAATATCAATACCCTCTGCAGTTTGTAACACAAAGTCTGGTAAATAATACACAGTAAAGATATTTTGTGAATTTTATGTATTTTTTTAATGTGCTTTAAAGATTTATTTCTTTATGCATACAAGAGCTGGGGCACAGGCCAGAGATGCGGGGGGTGAAAGGATCCACCAGAGACAGAGTGGGGAACAGAATGGGCAGATTGACTGAAATACACTGCTGAGGGGAGCAGTGGGCAAGACAGGAGAGTTCTGCCTTGTCATGTGGGCTTCTCCCTGGCTGGCCAAGGATTGAAATCTTGCTGCAGAGGCTGTGGATTGCTCCATAGTGAGGTGCTTAACCCCTTGCACCACCAGGGAGGTCCTATTTTGTGAATTTTTTAAATCTAATTTTTAATTAAGTCTAAACATTTACTAGTCATGTATTAGAAAGATTAATGTAAAAATTTAAAAGATTCATTTGCAAAATCATCACTTCATTCTAAATACCTAGAAGAGTGGCCGGCACATACTAAGCACACAAGTGAAATGTATTGTATAACTGAATGAATGATATGATTAAATTTATGTGGCTCCCATTATTCCCTTTTCAATGTCTCTCACAATTTGCACATCTTTCTTCTAAATATAGGAGAATCTTTTTACAAACAGATAAACATATAGATAGTATATAAAAACAGGGGGTGAGAAAGTTTATAGGCGAAAGTGTTTTCATTATTATATGTACCATTGTACCACATGTACATTTACATGTACTACTACTAATTGTGTTTATGAAGATTTTGAGAATTGTTATCACCATTGCTAAATTTTACTTTTCATTGAAGCAGGTTGATAAAGGTTGTCCGTAAAGAATGTTAATTTTAAGAACTTGTAAAGAGATTTTTT